GGTGGAACGTGGATGCCGGTGCGACGTGGAGCCGAAGATACCGGCTTGCCTTGCATCTTGCGTTCATAGCGTGCGAGAACATCCGGAGCTGTTGCTTGGAGTTCCGCACGGGCTAACCAACGGTCAGCTCGGTGACTGCAGTATGCAAAGTGTACCAAGTACTCGGTTGGCCTGTTGTCGTAGCGTCACTGGGAGATGATGTTGCCTACCTCTTGAAAACCGTCCATAGAGGGTGGGTCTTGCGATCGTCGTATGGGAAAATCATCATGTTCCGCTGGCGTGTAGAGAGCCAACTTGGAGCAATGAAAGACCGGGTCGACGGGCAAGTGGGCGGGCACCTGAATGGTGAAGGAATCCTTCGGGTGCATCCCCAGTGGGTGCCATGAGCGGCCAAGGCCCCATCCATTTCGGGAGGAGCTTGTGAGAGATATCTTGTTCAAGGCTGAATTCTGCGGCGGAAACCCAAACGAGATCGCGGGCGCGGAATGGGCAAGGAAGATGCTGGCAATTGGCCTGTTGGCTCATGCGTTGCTGCGTCTTGGCCATCTGGTCGTGTGCCTTGACAAGTAGCTCTTGCATCTGTCACAAGAAAAGAAGATGGTCGTCGCTCTCGGCCATTCGTGGAATGATTGTGTCCAAAGGCGAAGTGACAGGCGAGCCGTGCTCGAACTCGAAGGGCGACATCCCGATAGCCGGGTGGATGGACGAGTTGTATGCCAACTCGACATCCGGCAGCCGCTCAACCCAATCCTTTTGGTCGGGACGGATGAGAGTGCGAAGGAGAACCTGTGCGGTTTGATGCGCCCTCTCCGTTTGGCCATCGCTTTGGGGGTGGCGAGCCGAACTTGGCTTGAGAGATGAGCCCCAACGTTTGATGAACGCCAACCAAAAATCGGACATGAACCGAGTGTCGCGGCTGCAGACGATGTCCTTGGGGTAACCCTTGGTTCGAATCCAACCGGCGTAAAGAACCTCGGCCAACTCCGGTGCCTTGGCATGATAGCGGCAAGGCAAAAACATGGCGAACTTGGTGAGTCGGTCGACCACCGTGAGAATCCCATCCACTCCGGTCTTGTGCTTGGGGAACGGGTCGGTAATGTCCTTGGCAATCGCTTCCCTTCGCCGCAAGGGGACTGGTAACGGTCGCAACTCGCCGTACGGACGATGATTGCGGGATTTGCAACGTCGGCAAACCTCGCATGACTCAAAATAGCATGTGATGTCGTCGAGAAGACCAGGCCACCAAAAGCGCTCGCGGAGTCGGCCAATCGTACGATTGACTCCAAAGTATCCAGTGGCGGGAGCGTCGTGGAACTCGCCAAGAAGTTGTGTGCGCAAGTGTAAATCTCGTGGCACACAAAGAAGATCCTTCCCTCGCGAGTAGACGAACAAGTACCCCTCTTGGATCCGATAGTGCGATGGCGCCGGATTAGGAGAGGAGCAATTTGAGTACTTGTCGCAAAACTCTAGGTCGACTTGGTAGTCGCGGATGAAGTTGTCCCGCAAGTCGTCGTTAATCTCAAAAGTTGAGTGGACTACGGTACAATGGTCCGGACGCCGTGAAAGAGCATCAACAAAACGGTTTGACTTACCCGGGATGTGGTCGGGGAAGAAGTCAAACTGGTCGATGAAGGCCATCCAACGGGCAATGGTGCTATTGACCGTGTTTTGGGTCTTGTAGAAGACCAATGGACTGTTATCCGTTACCCATCGGAACTGCCGTCGACCGAGAAGAAAATGCCGCCAGCGCTTGAGCGCGTGTACGAAGGCCAATAAGTCCTTCCGTGCGTTGTCAACCGAGTGCATGGCGGGCACTTTCTTGCTAAAGTACTCAAACAACCAGTCCACACCGTCATGTTGCTCGAGGACGACACCAATGCCATAGCCGGACGCATCGGTAGTGATACGTGTCGGCAAAAGCGGATCGTAGATGCGCAACACCTCCGCGGATAGCAATGCCGCTTTGAGAGCCAAAAAGGAAGTCCGCGCATTATCGTCGAAGTGGAATGGTCGGTCCTCGCATTGAAGCTTGGATAAAGGAGCCGCGATCTTCGAGTATCCCTTGATGAAGCGTTGATAGTAGCCGGTTAAGCCAAGGAAGGAACGAACATTTGTGACGGTCTTCAGTTTCGGCCACTCTTGGATGGCTTGAATCTTGTCCGACAACGGACTGATGCCCTCCGGTGTGACAAAATAGTCCAAGTATTCCAGCTCTTGCCCGACAAATTTGCACTTGTCGTGGTTGGCTTTGTACTTGGCGCAGTGGAGCGTCTCCAACAATCGTCGAAGGCGCTCAAGATGATCCTCCAATATCCGGCTATAGACGAGAATGTCGTCTAAGTAGACTAGTACGAACCGGTCCAACATCGCACGAAACTCGTTGGTCATTGCCGCTTGAAAGGCCGTCGGGGCATTCATGAGGACAAGAGGCATAACGATCCACTCAAAATGCCCGTATCGTGTTTTGAACGTGGATTTGTAGCGATCTTGCGGGGCGTATCGAGATTTGATGGTAGCCCGACTTCAAGTCCAACTTCGAGAAGAATTTCGCGCCGCCCAAACGCTCGAGAAGGTCGTCAATCCGCGGAAGAGGTCCCGCATTCTTGACGGTTTGTGCGTTGAGCTTGCGGTAGTCGACGCACAAGCGAAGATCCTTCTTCTTTCGTACGAAGAGAACTGGCACACTGTATGGTGAGCTACTAGGGCAGATCCAACCCTTGTCCAATAGATCATCAGGTTGCGCGGGGAGAACCGTGAGCTCTTCCTCGCTCACGTGGTAGATGCATCCTTTCGGTGGCACGGCACCGGCCTCAAGAATAATCTCGTGGGAGATCGATCGATCCGGCACCACACCGGTAGGAGACTCGAAGATGTCGGTGAACTCGTCGAGCAGCCGCACCACTCGGGGGTCCGAAGACAAGTCCGTAGGTGAAGATTCGGTCATCGCTGCGAATGGTAGAAAACATAGGCCTATCTTGTCGGTCCGCTCGTAAGCGCAAGTGGCCCGAAAAGACTTGGTCGTTACAACTTGGCACCGGATCGAGGAGTGCGGAAGAGGAATGGTACACGGTACTTCGGCGCCGAAGGCGTCGCGAACAGTAAGTGTCCGCTGATGGAAGTTAATCGTGTGATCCGCACTTGCAAGCCAAGGCATTCCCAAAATGATGTTGAAGTCCGTGTCCAAAACGTCAAACATCACCGGTTCGCATGCATGAGGTGCGAAATAAACCGGCACGACTTCAATGTAGCGATCGAGGAGTTGTTGAGTCCGACCGTCGGCCAACTTGATCGTCGTCGGGTTTGACTTCCTTCAAACTTGTGCACCAAGACCGGCCCTTTGGATAAAGGACTCGCTGATGAAATTGTGAGTCGCATCGCTATCCAGCAAACCGCTGCAGGACGCTTGCCCAACTTGGATGCAGACATAAAGGAGCGGTGCGTTGTTATCATCGTACAGCTGCATGTGAAACTCGCGAGCCACCTTGGTAACATACGCAAGGATGTCCCCCACCGCAGCTTCGTCATCCGTCGGCGAAGATGGTGGTGCATAGAAGGCTAAGTATGTGTGGAGATGGGCGCATAGTGTTGCGCATTGCGGTCCCGGCAAGCAGCCTGTGGAAGGGAGAGGAAGCCATGCAAAATCCTCAGACGTCAACGGGTCCAAGACCTCTATGTGAACTCGTGCGTCGAGTCCCTTGAAGAACCACTTGAAGACGATTCATTGTTGTTGTTGCCGAACGGAGAAGAAGCCGCACACACATCTTGTCCTTGAGCTTGAGAACCCAACGAAGGAACGAGCCGAGCAGCATAGTCCTCATAAGAATACAAGAGAGGACTGTCGACTTCCGCATGTGCCTCGGAATGAAGAGAGGTCGCTAGCGAAGCAACCGATTACGAAGGCGTCGAGAGTGCAGCCGCATCACTCTCGGTGGTGCTCACTTTCCCGAAGGGAATTTGCCTTTGACTTGCATGGCACGGATGGCACGGTTGGCACGGTTGACGGCGAACAGCGGCCAGCTTGGGCGCGATCCTGGCTGGCATTGGAAACGATCAGCGAAACGAGGAAGGAGCACGAAGGCATGACTACGGCGGTTAGGGTATGAGCGGACATTGGGCTCGAGGATGACGGTAGAGACTCTAGTAGACAAAGATGAGAACAAGTGTGGTCAAGAATGGAATCGGTTCGAGACTCGACTTTGGCATTCGTCCCACATAGACTGGAAGTACCGTCTTCACCCAAATACAATGCCTGCATTGCCTGGTCATCACAACAGTAGTTCTTGCAACTTCCAATCTAGATACGACAACAATGACCGGGCATTCTTTTGGGAGAAAGACAGTAGGAAGCATCACTTGCTCCAGTGTTGATCCCGTGTAGCTCTGTGCCAATGACTATGGTGAATGGTCCCAACAATCACTAGATCTTGCCTTCGGTAGCCCCCTGCAGGAAGAAGTCATAGCTAAGGAAAGAAGTGCATCTCGTAAAGGAAGGTAACTTGGTAAGCAATCGGGCCTGGGAAAAGTTGGCAAGTACCGGGGCATTTCAGAAAGTTGGACGGTACCCAGTAGGGGTTTATTGCAAAGATGGGAGTCCAACCGAAACCAGGGGTATTTGAACCGTATTTCACAAAAAGTCTTTTTTGTGGTCAGAGGGACATTCCACTCTATTTCATCTTTTAGGAGCAGGCATTTTGGCATATATCTCAACTTATGGGGGGTATTTTGCAAATTATGCATTCCATTTTTTATTCCCCGCATTCTGGCATTTCCATTTCAATGATCTCATCAGAAGTCTAGCATCTGCAAGGGCGCCTCTCCCTCGTCTGCAAAGACGGCTCGTACACATTCGCGGTCAGGCTGTGTTGGGAATTGCGGGATATGAACCCACAACCTGCCCAATTATCTGCTGTATTTCAAGTTTCTGCTATTTTTGTTCTTGCCTGGATTTGAACCGGGGAACAAACAAAGTATGAACAGTTGTTTCGTTTTCTTTTTTTTACTGTTATGATTCTGTGTACGGTCCCTAATTGCCTACCTTCTTCCCGCGAATACAATGCACGGTCATTATAGCTGTATTTGGGCTAAATGTCAGTCTAAATACAGCTATAATGACCGTGCGTTGTATTCGGGGGAAGAAGGTAGCATAGCGGTAGGATCTTTTTGGCTGGTAGTTTTAGGCTTTTATGTTGGTAGGCGGACATTGTAGGCCTAGGCAAGTAGCTGCTCCTCAAAAGTGACGAGTTGGACCAAAACCCTCATTCAGAATTCATTCCTCATATTTCTTTTGCTGTTTGGTGAGACTAGAGAGGAGCTTCTTTCAGCACTGCTCAAGGAGACAGAGTGCAGCCATAGCCAGTGAGAAGTTGCTGTTCACTGGGCGGTTTCTCAAGCCGATTGTTGCATATTGCTCAGGGAGGCCAGGCCTTCAATTATCCATCACCTTTTTCTGGTTTCATCAACCATTTTGTGTGTGACTATTCAATTCCGATTTTCTGTGGAGTTGGGGTCCCATGTGATCTCATCTCAATCAAGTGTGTGAGTGAGACGATGAGTGGAAGTGCTTGTGATTTTGGAAATCCGTAACAGTGGTATCAGAGCTGGTAACGATCTTGACTTCCGGCACGTGTTGGACTTGGATAGCCACCACGTCCGCAAGGTCACCACATCATCAAGTGGACGTCAATCATCAAGTGGACGTCAACGCAGTATGTAGGCACCTGTTGAGTAGCTGCCTGTTCCTCATTTTCTGCAGGTTTTCAAAAGGAGTTATACCGTGTACGAGGAGGCAGGAGAAAGGTTAGTGTTGGAGTGAAAAAAGAAAAAAGAGTGGAGAGAAGCTCCTAGGGTTATGAACGATCGAGTTACACAGTCGCAAGCTAGGGAGAGGTCGTACACGCTCCAGGAGCTACTGCCGCCCTCAAGAAAGGGGAAGTCTGTACGATCAGGTACTACAATGGCGACTTCCGCACAACTTACCGCTGCTGAGCTGCAGAAGCAGAAGGATGAGTTAGCGGCGAGGCAAGCAGATCTTGACGCCCAGATCAAGGCAGCTCAAGATGAGGAGTTGCGGGAGAAGAACATCGCTGAATCTAAAAAGATTGTGGAGGACATCAGCGCAAATGTTGGCGAGAGGTTGTCAGCGTTCACTGTTCTCCATGCTGCGGACATGGACAGGATAGAGAGGTCGACAGACTCCATGTCCAAGCACTTGATGCAGCATCTTGGAGCACTTGCGGATTCAATGAAGGTCATACAAGACTCAATGAGGACGCTGTAGACTTCTCGCTCGCCGCAACAAACTTCGGCAGGGCCTTCCTCTCCGCCTGCAGGAGGAAATCAGCAAGCCCATCAACAAAGGGCAATCTCCAGAAGCTTTCAGAGGACTGTCGGAGGATGATTTTGAAGTCTGGCTGCAAGAGGTGAAACGCCAGACAGCATCATAAAGCTCCAGTTCACCATCAGCAACATGGAGGATGCGGCTAAAGCTTGGGCCAACTCGAAGATTTCATCAGTTGGCGAACTGGACGACTACGTGCAGAAAATCTCTTGGGAAGATTTCTGCAATAGGCTGTTGGAGCGGTATCTGCCAGTGACAAGGGAGGATAGAGTCTATGACCGACTTATTGAAATTTCGCAGCGACCATTCAAGGGATCAGTGGGTGATCTTGTGCAGGAATTTGATTGCCTGCTGCATACCCCAGATTTGGAGCTGGGGCATTACTTGCGCTGCAATGATTGATCCAAAATGGGCAGAAAGGCAAGCAACAGCAGTAGCAGCAAAAGAGAAAGCAAGACAGAAAGCAAAAGGCAGTAGCATAGTGGGCGTGACAATAACCGTGATTTCTCAGGCGGACGAAGGGAATATATACTGCCGTGGGAGAGGAATGGGATCACAAAGGATTTTTTTATGGACAGAGTGGAAAAACGTTTGTGTACGACCTCCGACCGCAGCGGACACGCATGGAGGTGGTGTCCAAACACAAACCGCCCAGCAAAAGGAAGGGGCCTGTAGGTCGAACAGTCACATCTGCACAAGTTGGGGAAATCAATACTGCAAGAAAAGAATGAGCAAGAGGACATCAGCGAGAGTGATGAGGAGGAAAAAGAGAGCAGCAGTAGACACAACGCTTTTGCCTGCGTCGTCCCACTGCCAGATCAGACTGCAGCACAACATGAGGTGGACAGATTGTTGTACCTGCATGCTGTTATCAAGAAGAAAGTGAGCATTGGAGAACCTGTTGAAGAGTTTGGAGAAGAAGAGCAGATTACCCTCATCAACATTGTGGTGAATAAAAAAGTAGCGAAG